GAGACCTGCTGACCCAATGGGGACATTGTCAGGCAGTGGAAAGAGCACTTCGAAGAACTTCTTAATCCAGTTTACACATCTTCTGCTGTGGTGGCAGAACCTGAAGACTCGAGGAAATCTTCTCCCATATCCGTGGTAGAGGTCGCCAAGGTAGTCAAGAAACTCCTTGGTGGCAAAGCACCAGGTGTGGGCGAGATTTGCCCCAAGATGCTGAAGGCTCTGGACATTGTTGGACTGTTTTACCCGACACGTCTCTTCAGTGTATCTAAACTATACAGTATACTGTGCAATACATGTTTTTAAACTATGGACTATACCTTGTCTTACATGAATGAATGTTATGTTTTTCTGGATGCCTGAAATGTTTTGCATTTAAAATTTCATTGGGCATTTGTATGACAATAAAGGCCATTTTTTATTCATCAAAGAAGAAAGCATGTAAAATGTTGTAGCTAATGGAAGTTGTTTCTCAGACTTCTAGACAAAGATCCATTTTCTGTATTTATAGTTCTTCTTTTTGTTTTGTTTTCATGCTTGGGCCAAGAAACTGTCAGCTCCATGATGTGTACATTTTCACATTTGTCACAGAGTGAATTATAAATTAAAGTTAATATTTAAGGAAGAGCCTCGACGTTGTTTAGCAAGCTGGAAGCATTACATTTGCCTGCTCATGGTGATTGTTGCAGCAGCAGTTTAGCTGCTTTTGCATACTGATTTGTGAAAACTCCTCCAACCATATGCAGGTAAACATTTATCACACCTCATGCATTCACACGTGAAAAAAAAATGAGGCTTGACCTTCACCAGTGTGTCATGACTTACTAAAGGCGAATCCCATTAGGGTTCACAACAGATCGCTTAACGGGGGAGCTACAACAATGAAACATCTTCTTGTCCCTCTGTGTCTGCTGGGATCTCTTTTACATCCATTGACTCGATGCACTGCCGCAACCTCTGAGTTTCACCTGGAAGGAGATTATTGGATTGGTGGACTTTTTGATATCCATCATGCCATCAGCCCTACTCATCATGCCAGACCAGAAGCAATCGACTGTTCCATGTAAGTTTTCTAATGAGTTCCCTTAAGTCTACTTAGCAGTAAAAACCTATTTAGTTAATTGCCACATGATTAGATTTGCTGTAGAAAATTCAGTCAGACCTCAGTCTTCATTCATTAGGATTCTCTTTTGTAGCTTCCATATGTGTTGTTTTAGCCTTTACAAATAATAATGCTTGACGACAAAACTGCTGCACAAAGAGGTTTTGGAGTCCTTATTTCCTGTCTTCTCATCCTCAGTCAACCCTTCAGCCTCTCAAATTATCGGAAGTTTCAGCTGATGAGATTCTCCGTGGAGCAGATCAATAACTCCACCAGCCTACTGCCTAATTTATCTCTCGGCTATGACATATTTGACCACTGCTCAGATACGCAGAGTTTCTCAGGAATTTTGAAACTCATCTCAGTCAATGACTTGATCCATCCTTGGGATGAAAATCACAAGAATCTGTCCAAAATTATAGCAGTGGTCGGTCCGTTTACAAGCACTCATTCCCTGACTGTCGCCCCGCTCTTCATGGCGGATCTCATTCCAATGGTAAGTTTTTAACAGATAAGATCATGAAAAAACTCTTAAATACAAAATATCTTATTGCCAGTTGAACTAGCTTTTATTGTGTAGCGCTAGTAAAACTTCGGAATTCTTCCATTGTTCTTTCAACAGGTCAACTATGGATCCTCGAGTTCTGAATTTTCAATAAAAATGAAATACCCCTCTTTCCTGCGGACAGTGCACCCCAATAAAGACACCATAGAAGTGATTGTTAACATGGTGCTGCACTTCAACTGGCGCTGGGTTGCTTTCCTTTACAGTGATAATGATTTTGGAACTGATGGATTGGACTTGTTCAGAAAGAGGATAAAGGATACTAATATCTGCCTGGCATACAGCAAAGGCCTCAGCGACAACACAAACAACTCCCTAGTGTTCAAACAGACAGAAGCACAGAAGATAAATGTATATATTGTGTTTTCTCCTGAACTGACCGCTGAAGCTCTCATTGAAGCAGCAATACAACTGAACGTCACAAACAAGGTGTGGATAGCAGGAGAAAGCTGGTCCTTAAGCAAAAAGCTCGCCCGCATGAAAGGAATCAAAAACATTGGAACTGTCCTTGGGGTGTCTCAGCCAGTGGTATCAATACCTGGTTTCACTGATTTTATCTATTCTACCAAGAGCCAGAGGCGTTGGGAAAACACAGAACAACAGAGGTTTTGCAATCAGAATTGCAACTGCAGTGACCCGAGTGCTGAGGATATCCTGACTGTGAACCCAACTTACTCTTTTCCTGTTTATTCTGCCATATATGCCATCGCCCACGCCTTGCACAATACCTTACAATGTGGAACTGGGAGATGTAATAAAAATATGACAGTGTACCCACATAAGGTAAGTATAGAGGGTGGAGAGGGTACACCAGTCTGTGTTTATGATGTAATATGGCTTCAACATAGATGTCACTGTATTTACATAAGTGGTATATTCAGCAAAAACAAACTTTAATTCAATAAAACAATGTTGGATTTAACTCAAACATGAACTCATATTTCTGCCATCAGTATCACATTTTTTGATCTAGTAAACCAGTGCACTACGTACTTACTTTCACACAATGCATTGGTATCCAAATCAAGAAATTTCAAAGATAGATAAGGTCTACAGTGTGATAATCTACATCTGTTTCATTGGCGTATGACATTTTTATTCTATACACAAAGAAGTAAAGATCATTCAAATTTCATTTGCCTGCATCAGGTCCTGGAAGAGCTGAAGAAGTCAAACTTCACACTTTTAAACCGGACCATTCAGTTTGATGAGAACGGTGACATCAGGTTCGGCTTATACGCCATCGTTTTCTGGGACCACAGCGGTGATGCACAGGAGATCGGCTTTTATCAGTTTCACCCGTTGCACTTCGTCATCAACGACACCAAAATCAAGTGGTTCGCTAATGGAGAAGTAAGTACTTTGACTTTTATCTAGTGATGAATATTTTCTTCTACAAGGATGTATGGCCCATTTACTGCATCTTCAGTCTGTTCTGTCTATACATTCACAGTGTGACTCGCTTTTACTAAATAAATGTCTTGCACAGGTGCCAACTTCACTGTGTTCCCCAGAATGTTCCGAAGGATACGAGAAAAAACAAAATGGAATCCACGAATGTTGCTTCACTTGTGAATTGTGTCCAAATGGAACTTACATCAACAGCACAGGTAAAGTATTACACGTGACATGAAGAACATGAGTAAAAACATTGCTTCCATTCATGTCTTGATATGAACACATTTCAGATAAGCTTTTTTCACAGCTAAATGAATGATGGAGGTCTATGCAATAAACTGTGCCACAGAACTTTAAAAGCACAATCAACCAGTTTCTTGCCAACACATTCTTATTCTTAATACCGTTACCTCTAAGGTAGTGGTCACAGTTAACAAACAAAAGCTAATTTTACAAGAAAATCTCCTCTTGAACATACATGACTACGGATTGCAAACGCTGCTTCCTCAGCTGTTCTTTCTACACAGCAAAGGACTTTGAAAATGACCCCAAACTTAATCTGTCTCTCCTGTAAAACAGAGGATCCCTACACCTGCATCGACTGCAAGGACTCAGAATGGTCTGCAGAGGGAAGCACATCCTGCAATCTGCGGCTGGTGGAGTTCATACCGTTCACAGACAGCGGGGCCATACTGATCATGCTCGCTGCCGTGGCCTTGGTGGGCCTCACGTTAGTTGTGTCTGTTCTCCTTGTCGTCAACTACAACACACCTGTTGTCAGATCTGCTGGAGGACCGATGTGCTTCCTGATCTTAGGCTGCCTCAGTCTGTGCAGCATCAGTGTTTTCTTTTACTTTGGGAAGCCGACAGTTCCTTCTTGTGTCTTAAGGTTTTTGCCATTTTTCTTGTTCTACAATGTTTGTCTGGCGTGCTTTGTTGTGCGCTCTTTTCAGATTGTTTGCATTTTCAAAATCGCTGCCAAGTTCCCCAAACTCCAAACTTGCTGGATGAAATATCACGGACAGTGGCTGGTCATCATTGTGGCGTTTACAGCTCAGGCGCTCATACTTATTATTGGCTATTCCTATGCTCCCCCAAAACCTTACAATGAAACAATATGGTACCCAGAACAAATCATACTTAGCTGTGACATTGACTTTAAAGCAGTACTGGGTTCTGTGATTTTACTTGCAACTTTGTGCGTCCTTTGCTTTATTTTCTCCTACATGGGAAAAGACCTGCCGAAAAACTACAACGAGGCCAAAGCCATAACCTTCTGCCTCCTGCTGCTGATCCTCACATGGATCATCTTTGCCACCGTGTACATGCTCTATCGTGGCAAGTACATCCAAATTCTGAACGCCCTGGCTGTACTCTCCAGTCTCTACTGCTTTCTGTTGTGGTACTTTTTTCCAAAATGTTACATCATCGTGTTTCAACCTCAAAAAAATACGCCGCAGTACTTCCAAGGTCTCATTCAGAATTACACCAAAACTATCAGTCAGTAGCTGCAGTCACTAAATATGCTTCTCTGTATGATGTATATCTTATCAGAACATACATCCCACTAACTGTCTGAACCTGAGTAGCAGTTTCTATTATCTATTTATACACTTTCTATATATTTATTATGCACAAAGAGATGATTAACTAGTTTTATTTGTAATGACATGCTTCAGGCTGTCTGAATACTTCTGAATAATTTGTCTTTTTAACATACATCGTATTAAATAGTCGTCTCATTGTCTTTTTACATATATTTATGACTGTTTTGCTCGACAAATGTATTTTGGAGTTACTTAAAAACAACAAAACAAAGATTTAAAAATACACATTCATTTAAACTGTATTTTGTGGAGATCGCTGGCGACATGTTCCAGAAGACAAGTCTTTGTTTAAGGTTGTAAACAGTCTTTAAATGGCAGGTATCTGTAGTCAGCCAGCCAGACTTTTGCCATTATGTGAAGGTAGAACTAGCTAAAACTGTGTTTGGTTCTGCTTTTTAACTGTGCATAATTGCAATAAAGAGTGGATGTGTAGTAACTGCAGCGTTTCCTCTCCAAACTGTTTTGTCAACTATTTGGTCAATTCTCTCAAGCTAATTGAAAATGAAACCAGTTTTATGTCGTTTCTTTTTTGACTTTTCTGCCGGTGCTAGTCAACAGTGACATCATCCACATTAAATGTAAATTCTGCATTCACTATTAGAAATATTTGCCCTTCTGTGAAGTCTTTGGAAGCCCTTATTTTTTAATAAGTGCCAGTAGTGACTGAGACATGTAGACAGCATTAGTATTCTGAGGTGGTTGTCAGTGTGCTATCTGTTTGAAATCTTTTGAAGCTACGTGTAATTCAACAGCCTCATAGTAGAATAAAGTGACATTATTGTTTTCCTCCCTGTTGCTGTAACACTATCTCACCACAAGGTGGCGCCACTTCACAGTGACGCTGCCTTCAGGTAAGACAACAGCTCCATCTTATTCATTTTCTGTGTCAGCTCTGTCAACACACAAGGTCAAAGCCTGATGAAGAAAATGTTGTTTTCGCCTTTACTACCAACTTTTAAGCCACATTCTACATTAAAACAATATCAATTGTATCATGTTTCTAAAACATTAGAACTATTATTTATGCAACAACTAACAGGTTTAAAAAAACACCATTATTAAGTCCTAAATGTACTTTTTTCTTCTTCTTCTATCAAATAAAAGCAAATATCCATAAAATGAAGGTATTTCTGCTGAGTGAAAGCAGTAACTTCATGGTCAAATGTTGTAAATGAACAAATGACCATTTTCCATTTTTAAAAATACAGATTGTCATCGGATATTATTTACAATTTTGGCCTGTTGTTGTTTTTTAAAATGTATATTTTTAAGGATTAACATGTCAATCAATACATTTTCCTTTGATTTTCCTCATTATTATCTATAAACTGGAAAGTTACAGATAATAGTGTGTTAACTATCTGTAAAGATAAAATAAGATAAGATGATAATCCTTTATTTCTCCCCACTCCAGGGGAATTTACATTGTTAAGGCAGCAAAACTTTAAAAAAAGAACACAGCAGCACTAAACATATACATAATAATAATAATAGCAATAAAAATATACAATATATACAAAGGATGAAAAATGAAAATGAATGAATACAGGATGAGGAATAAATACAGTATTAGTAAAAGTGAAAGATGCAATCAGGGCAAAGAATTGTTGTGCAGATTTTACCATGATGATGCTGATGACATGACATAAGTCTGGTTTATGTGAACATCAGACAGTGATGCTGCATTTTTAAAAACTTTTGTTTTTTTGTTTGTTTGTTTACACAGTGTAGCCTAAACCTACATGACACGTAATACCTTTATATCAGTGATGTGTGAACCTGTGTGCATCTCTGTGATCTTGAAGATGTTAGTTTCCATGTAGCTGCCTTCACTTAATCACTTGATGTTCAGTTTGATCATAGATTAAATAAAAACATCTTCTGCTCGAGATTCAGTCCTTTAGTCAGGTGCTTTTTTTTATGTCTTTGTATTGAGATGTCATCTGCTTTTACCAGCATGTTTTTTCTACCTGTGCTTTCAGCCTGCCATCCAATAATAATAACAACTTTAGGTGTATCTTTATTATTCATATACTTTCCACCTCTGTGTTAATTTCTCCTGAGATGAACCCATTTGGCCTCTGGATGACACGTTTACTTTGTGCCGTCAGCTGAGCGCAGACACACGAGAAAGGGAAAAGCTGACCTGAGACTCCATCTGAAAGTGTCACGCCGTGACGCTCAGTGGGGCTGTGGATGCCCCGCGAAGTGAAACGGAAAGAGCGTTGCCGCAGGGGGTATGCGCCAATTCCAGACGGTAAATTGCCATTTTGTTGCAGCTATTCAGTTTCCTGGCAGGGAAAAGGGGGAGGATGGACCGTGAAACTAGGAACGAATTGGTAAATAGTGCCACTTAGCATGGCATATGGCGCGTTTGGAGAGCTGAACGCTGACACCAACAAATTGACGATTTCATACCAATTTCAGAGTTATTGCCACACACGATGTCACGCACAATCTCGGCGCGTTTGTGCACTTCTGACATTTTGCCTGAACAAAATAAAGCCTATATAAAGTTACAGGCAGAGTGATGACCTGTCTGGAATTTAAATTAATCCAAATATTTATAACCATCACTATCAAAAGTGCCAAAACTTACATCACAGCAGCATTTCTATATTTCAGGACGGGCTAGTATTCCTTATATAAATAAACTTTAAAAGAATTTGTGACTTTGTTTAAGTCGGTTGTGCTATGTGGACACTTATTTCTGGTATACAAAATATGGAGCGAGGAAAATCGGAGGAACGCCCCGTGGCTTTTCACTAGTACCTTTCAATTTTCCACTTTGGTCAGATAAAGGGAGAACCCTGGGAAAAAAAACTTGGCCACTAACTGGTCCATCCTTTTTGTACCCAAAGCAAAAACAAAACGCACTTTAAATGGAGGCCATTTGCGTTTGGTGGCCATATGGGATTTGCCTTAAAATTGTCTTCTTTTGAATCCAAAGCCATACATCCGTCACCAGTCAGGGGGCTTATGCTGAGAGATCTGGCCCAGTTTTTCTCCAAATCTACCTCCATTGGTCCAATTTTAGCATTTAATCATTATGCGTAATGTTTAGAGCTGCGCGTAATGATCTTGGAACACTGCGTCTTTGGGAATTTGATTAATAACAAAGAAATGAATGAATAAATGGTCGGATTTTAATATGTTTCAATGAAACCTCTTTCAGCAGAGGTCATTTTTTTTAGGAAAAGTATTGTTATAAATTAACTGTAGGGTCTCAACAAAAAGCCTAACTGCACTTCATAGTCCAAAAGCTGAACACTCCAAACTGAAGACTTCAATGGAGAAATATTAAAATAGCAAAAAAAAAAGTGATTCTAAAGAGAACAGTGTTGATTTATCAGGACTGAGAGCCAGTCCTGAGATCATATAACCCACAAAAAGAAAGTCCTCTGTATGCTTTTATTCTCAAACCAAATGCTTAATTTCCACGTTGCTCATATGACTGTTGTTTTTACGCACGACTACAGGCTGCGCGCTAAAACGCTGCTTGGTTATTCTCATTCAAATCCGTCTCTAGTCGTTCAGAGTAAATGGCAGATGTTTTGCAATTCAAGGCGCATCAATACCCATGCGCTTTAGTGTTTAACAAAGGCGCTCTCCTTTTGTTCGGCGCTTGTGTCTTTCACTTCAGAGCTCGACAAAGGCTTCATCCTCCAGCGAGTTATAAAGTTACTTTCCAGTCAGTTCATCTCGGCCCTTGAGAAAACCTTAAGCGATGTTAATGTGCACCTCTGGTCCTTTCATGCGCTAACCCCGGCACACACAGGCAAACAGCAGCCATTGTGCTCCTAAACCAAAGTAAGAAGTCTTTAAATAACCCGGGGACCAGTCTATAGAAATTCATGATGCTTTTTTTTCCATTTGATGTTTGATCAGAGCTTCGCCAACAGGTCCGTCGCGTGGCTTTTCAGAAAACCATGTCAATATTTCTAGTATTTTTTTTTTCCAGTGCACCTGCTCTTGTACCTGCTCCGTTTTTTAAAAAAAAATGTGACCTTGTTGCGCACAATGAGCGTTTTGGTCACACCAGTGCTGCCTCGGGTCCGTGTGAATGGAAGGCGGTTCATCGATTTGCTCCGCTCACGCTGAGCCAAATTATGGGCCACTGTTTGCATACATTTGAAGAGCGTTCTGCAAAGGCATGCAGACATGTTCGAGCCTGACAATGCATCCAAAATATATAGGGGAAAAAAACGTAATTCTGCAAATAAAATAACATGCATCCAGAGCTCCATTTATTATAACATTAGATACTTAAATGCATAAATCAAGTCCTCAGAATGCATATGTGTTGTTTCTATGATATAGTTCTACATGTTGCTAAAACATACTGTTGGTTATTTCTAAGGAAAATGTCACCCTTTCCCTCTGAAATCCCTTAAATTGAAGATAACCTCGACGTTTTTGCCCCTGCTGGGCATAAGACCAACCATTGGCTTGCAAATGCGCCACTTTCCCTCCTAGAAGAAAATAGTTTATTGCAGTAATTACATAATTGCTTCACTAATTGTTGTTAACAAGTTTCCCAATAGTCCAATTATTACAGCAGCATTGTCAGGTCCCCTCCGGCAGGAATCCATGACAAAGGTCCGATAGGGTTAATGAATGACCCGAGGCTGAAAAGTGAAAGTGGAGCAAAAGGCCCGATCCCTTTTATAAACATACACTTAACTTGTCATTTAATGGCACTTGCATTATTATTTCCATTCGGGACACAAGTTCCTCGCTGCGCTATTCTCATGGATAGGCTAGATGATGGAACAACGACTTACAGGAGAAGTTAGGGGGACAGTTTTAAAGCCTGGCTGTAGACCTGGATGTTAATATGTTTTCAAATCTCCCTCCTTGGTTCTTTTGATGCCAAAGAGAAGAGCCAACACTAATTGAAATTATACCGAGTAATCAGCGGTGAAATCTCTCCCATGTTGCACAGAATAACGAGACAGGCGACTGTTGTGATGCCACGACTCCACGCTGAAATCAACCCTCCACGGTCTTGTGTTAAAACCAAGCGTGAAAAACGCAGATAATGTGGCGCCCAGACGGGACAAAGGACACCAAGAAAGCCCACTTACACCAGAGCATCCCGGCCAAATTTCATACCGATTAAATGCTTCAGAGTATAGCAGCACAACTGTGGCCCTCAATTTTTCGGTTTTTACGCAATTAGTGTCTTCTGACACAAGCCTGACAACTCCAGGCTTCGGTCTCTTTGAATGATCGTGGTTGTGATTTAGTTCGTCGAGGCCAATCAATTTACTCTCAACAATAGAGAGTTATCCTGCTGCTTTTAAATCTGCAAGTTTAAAGCTTGTTAAATGAAAGTCGAAGCAGCAGATTGTGCCGGACTTTATCTTGTCACACCAGAATGAGGAGGAGAGCAGCTCTGTTGGTTCACTTTAGAAGTCACATGTCCACTGTGGTCACACAGCAGACGAAAAGAAAAGATCAAATGTGAAATTAAGAAATTGGCCTCTTTTCATACGCGCACTCCTCAGACTGAACTCGAGCCTCCTTTACGCAACACATGCATTCAACTGAATCAGAGCAAGAGGACATGAGCAGATTTCACTGCAATGTGTGTCTTTCAAGACCAGTGGCGAAATGTAACTAAGTACATTTAGTTCAGTAGAATGTCACTTTACACTTGGACTCCACTACATTTGACTTCACTACATTTATCTGACAGCTTCATAAAGTTTGTTTTTTTCCAAACACACAAGTTTTAAGCTTATACACGTGCAGCTAAAATGGTCGATGATTAATCAATGAGTTGACTGACAGAAAATGTGAGTTTTTTAAAAAGTCATTTTTAATGTTGAATTGTAGAAACTGTAATGTTAAACTTTAATAAAGGCTCTAAATGCTTCCATCACCACTATCAACAATGTAAAGGTTTAATTCTTTAGCTCTTGGAATGCTGAAGCAACCCCTAAAGGCACCTATAGAGTCACCTGGACCCACTAAACACCTTCACCTTATGACACCTAGAAACATCTAGACATTTAATTCACCCCTATTTTTTTTTTTTTTGGTATTTTCAGGTTGTTTGTCTTTCCGCACAAGATGCGCAGTGGGCTGCAGTGAACCTATAGTCAACACATTGTTTCAGCTGGTATGACTTTCCCAAGCCTCAGCCCCTTTCAGGAAGTAGTGTGGAAAATCGGGAGGCGAGGGACCAAGGACAAGGGGCGGCCCGCGATTCTCCTCGGTGCCTCACTGAGCCTGGTATGAAGACAAAACCTGGTGACGCACAATAGCTTAAGAATCCTAAAAGTGTAAAAGTGTAATAAAGGTAGATCTTTTCAGAATCTCTTATGCTTTTTCTTTCTTGCGTGTTTAACGTGCATTAAAACTGTAGCGGCACAGTTTGCCCAATAAAAGTACGTTGACTTGTGTAATCTGATTTTGCAGGTGCACAAGTTTTACCATCAGTGGCCACCAGAAAATCGAAATGTTGTGGGGACACGAAGGGAATTACCACGGTGCTGCCTTCGACCTGGTGGCGTGAAACTCACATATAAAAGGCTGAATACAGGATTCAATAGTGGCCACAGCGCACACCAAGCAGAACCATTATGATTATGTTTATTATTTTTACGCTTCTCTGTAGTTTTGTGCCCCACACGTTGATTGTTGGGTTCATGAACTTAATGCTTACCTTGTGCAGCAGCCTGCATGCTGTACCCAGCTGGACGTGTTGTGTATGTTCTATGTTCAAAACCCATCATATGGATCTTATAACATTGATGCCAAAGGAGACAGTTTTGTCACTACACTGTTCATAGACACATACACTGACCTACGTGTGTGGGCTCCATCAAGCATTTGTGTATTCCTATGCATTTGTTGAGTAGTTGCTCTTAACAGACAAAAAATAACTGAAAATACGAAAATAATAATAATAAGTTTCAGGTAACGTGAGTTAAAAACATAACTTTGCAAACTGAAACGTCAAAATAGTCAACTTTTTAAATACTCAAGCAGCATAAAACTATTCGTTTTTCAGTGATAAGTGCGACATTTTGGTTGGTTTTGGCTGTCAAGTGACGGCAGTGTTGTTCATTTGAGCGCAAGAAACAGGCGGGACTGTTTTCATTGAGATGTTAAGTGGGTGTCTCTATATAAATCCACTCAGGATCAACTCCTTCGTTTGTGACCAAGAGAAGGAAAGAGATTAACTTTAAGGAAATCTGATTTTAAAAAAGGACTAACAGAATGGTGGCGACGACAGAGGAAAAATCCAAACCCACTGCTGGAAACAAGGTTTGTAGAACAAAGAAGAATTGGATTTAAGCGGAGAACATCACTAGGTACCACAAAACTGATAAAGGGTGTAGACTGAGATTTTAACTTTGCGCGCCTTTTTACAGGTATCCAAACCACTAATGGAAAAGAAGCGCAGAGCTCGCATCAACCAGTGTTTGGACCAGTTAAAATCGCTCCTGGAGAACTACTACAGTAGCAGTGTAAGTTTGCAGACAATATTTATCTAATTTTAATTTTATTACATTGTTTTAAGTGTTTGCAATTGGTGCAAGTCGGCCTTCATTCATTATTAGGAGAAATACCTATCTAAGTAATGCAATCTATTTTTACAGATTCGAAAACGCAAACTGGAAAAGGCAGACATCTTGGAACTCACTGTGAAACATCTTAGGAATCTCCAAAAGATCCAGAGCTGTAAGTTTTAGTTAATCTCTTTCTAGCAGCCAGTAAATAATTAAATGTTTGAGACATTAATTTTTTTGTTCCTTCAAGCGCAGTTTTACGCACAGCTTTACGCACAGCTTTACGCACAGCTTTACGCACGGATTCTGTATGTTTCTCACCTTGAATTTTCTTTCGATTGCTTTCAGTCACTGCCGCTGCTTCAGAGCTCTCTGATTACCACTCTGGCTTCCGCACTTGCCTGGCAAACGTGAACCAATACCTGCTGATGGCTGATACCTTGAACGGGAGCGACCGCTGGATGTTAACGCAGCTTTCCAACAAACTGTGCCGCTCTCGGAGAGGAGGAGACGTCTCCAGCACCTTGGACAGCGGCCTGGAACAAGCTGAGTCACAGGATGAGGCGCGGAAACTTCTCCCATCTGCAGCTGGACCTGAGGAAGAAAAAACGGTCAAATCTAAAGCTCTGAAACGACACAGTGCAAACTCGCCTCCTTTTCTACCGAGTGAAGACGCACGACAGTCATCTGGAGCCAAACACGCTGTTCTTTTGGCGGCGCCTCCACACAACAATAGCGACAAAAGTTCCAGTCACAAAAAGTTTCACTCTGTCAGCCACAGAAATGAAGCTGCAAACACTCAGCACAGTGTGTGGCGGCCTTGGTAGAGCTGATGGAAAAACTGTAAATGTCCTGAGTTATAGCTTGATTGAATGTTTATAATTGCACTATAGATTTTTACAATATGTTATTACTTATAGATTTTACTGTACATGCATTATTTTCTTAATAAAAGTTGTGAAAAAAAAGATTTGGGTGTCTTGTTTTTTCCCCCTCAAAATGCAATTAGATCTTAACTTCGGTTGTAAGGGACGTTTGGTAGAACATATATGTAGAATTATAGCAAATGAGTCCATTTTACGAGGACATGTATGGTGAAAAACAAAGAGATGGGCAGTGAACACATGACTGATTGTGGACAGGTGGCTTAAGGGCCTTTGTAGCATCAGATGAGTGCTAAAATATTCAAAAATTCACATTAAACAAGACGTTTTGTGTTTTCAACTTTTGCAATACATCAAATTTATGCTCAATTAAGAAGTAATAATTGACATGTAGAGGAAAAACAGATCAAGTAGAGCGCAGGGTTTGACTCTGATTTTTTTTTTATTCCATTCTTGTCTGGTTTCACGCATAAGTACCGAAACAGTGGCGGGCAAATCAGATGCTTGTCGGACAGCACGACAATTTTCTGCCATAGAGTACTAATTACACGCCGTGTTCTCTTGTTGGGGTCTTGTGGACTTGGAGTCAGGGGGGGGGAAAAATCACGAAACGAGATCCAGACACAGGCGATACAATTTACTATAATCCTCGTTAATTTCAATTAAATAAAAATCACAACTCCTGTTTGTGTGCATGTCAAGTAAGCAAGTGGGTTAAATGTTTAAAGATACTGTTTGTTTTTAAATCTCAACAAACTTAAGTTAACTTTTAAAACTAAGTGACACATGGAGAATGACGACTTTTTGGATAAACCATGTCTGACTTTATATTTGTACAGCAGTGGCAGATGCAGTTATAATAAGCCAAAATAGAATCCTTTGCACATGGATGCTCTCATGCACATATATATACCAGTATAGCAGCATACATGCATGCATACACATAGGATGCAAATTTGAGCATATGTGATGCGAACTTCTTATTCTCACTAGTAGCAGCAGCAGTATTCCAGCATACCAAACTAGGATAGTTTTAAGTGTTTTTTTATACCCACAGCTGTATAATTAAACCTTGTTGCGACACACTGGCTGCACCTGTGCAGTGCGGAATTACTGGCCTGTTGCACAAAACACCAAATCTGTTCACCAGCCTCCTTTAACGCGCCCAATAGTTTTCTTTCGCTGCTTTGGCACGGATGTCATAAAGTGTCTCTCCATTCTTGGGGAGCAGCGCTGGAGAGGATGGCACCTAACAGCGAGGAGAATTGCTGAAACGCCCACAGCTCTTTCACATGTTGAAAAGACACTGCTGTCTCATAGAGGAGGGCTGCGGACAAAAAGTTGCTGCTTGGTTCGACTTTTTTTTTTTTCGCCCCAAAAGGTGAGAAATAAACTCATCTATAACTCTAGAAGCTTTTTTTTGTTTGTTCGTTTGCTCAGCTCACAGCCCCAGCCTGTAACTCTTCTTAACCCTCTCTCCTCTCAAAGTCAAAGCTACTCTTTTGATGTGACCAACAGAGGCTCAGGACACAAGAAGAGTTTGTTTAATACAAGAAAGGGAAAGGCCACGTGACTTCCATACTGAATGCCCTTAAACTTTTTCTAAGAATTTCTATGAACTCTTCTCGACATTGTTTCAGTAGCCTTGCTCGGTGCACTATAATAGCGACGCACATTAGAGCTGAGAACCGAAGGGAGGCAGAGAATAGTTTATTAGCATTAGACTGGGTTCAGTGAGGCGCTCTTAAGACACCAGACGTGGATGAAGTGCGCTGCAGACGCGTCAGTTCCCTGCTCAGTTTGCTGGTATGTCCTTTGCTCGGCCAGGTCCACACGGTGCTGTCACTTCTTGATTTGTGCAATTAAAACATACAGTACGTGACTCACCCAGACACCCACAATTAAGTGTGAACCGCACACAATAGAGATGGCATTTGGTTCCAGGCTGCTCCCAGCCGGACCTACAGCGCACCGTGGAATTACCTTTAGGCTCGCAGAAAGAGCCGTGTCCATGCTCATTGTTGCGCAGCGTCGACCTCTCCTCCAAAGCGTTTGCTCTGGTCTGTACTGCACAATCAGCTGATTAGAGACACCTGCAAAGACAACACTGCCCTTAGTTTAAATGAGGGCACCCACTGTCCATCAAAAGCTGAGGAAGAGGGAGGTTGCAAAGTGGTGACAAAGGCATTTTTACGCAACACTAAAAAAAAAAGTTTCTAGTAACTGACGTTTAAAAAAGCAATCACACAAAAAAATGTAGCTCCATTAAATATTTCAATCAAGTTTTATGTTATTGACCCTTTTTTAGGAAAAAAAAAAGGTGCGCATGATGCAAACAGAAGAAGAGAGGAGTTGAAAAGTGGTGAGAAAATGTACTTTTACGCAAAATGTAAATATGTTTCCATGAACGTATGTTTTCAAGGCAAACACAAAAAACATTGGTTCCTTTAAAAAAAAACGGTTCCAATCAAGATTTAGAGGATATTGGTCCACCTCTAGGATAAAATGACATTGTCAAAATAATGCAGACTGATCAGGCATACCCCACATCACTGTGCAAAGCAACCAACCTTGATTTTCATCTGGGACCTGCTGGGCTTCAGTTTTATGCTGCCTTGAAGACAAATATAAACATATTAGTGCCTCCAACATCTGGAAAAACAACATGAGCATAAAGCAAACAGAAGAATTCTTCACAACAAGCATGGAACAGCAACAAAGTGCATCGGATTCTACAAACACACTCTGAAGCATCATCTTGTGAATTTAATCAGTCATATCTTTTTTTGTTTGTTTTTTAACAAAGTCATCATTTGAACAGGAAAATCATAACATTTAACATCATTCATATTTGATTCATAAATCTTTGAATATGTTACAAAATTATATTTTTAATATTGTAAACACAACAAAATCCCAAACAATCTATGACACATAGCAAAAGTCTGACAGGGGGGAACGTGGTGTTACGCTTCCAAACTGATCTCTGCCAACTTGTCCACCTGAATAGGCTGCAAATAGTGAGAGTTCCACTGATACATGAGAGTTAAATGAAACATTTAAATGACGGCAGATGATTGAAAAACATATAAGCAAAACACGTGCAACTTTATTACTTGGATGGCAATAATAAAAGAAAATGTTTCACAATTAATAAGGCTGTCAAAGGGGGTATTTTCACTTCCGACTGTTCTCTAATTTCCTCCAACACTTGCACCTAATTTGTGCAAATACATTCACATTAGCAGCTACTGTCTGCTACCTGCTAAGTTTTTTTGTCAGTGGAAGAGTTTTCACTCCTCTCTGTCAGGAAATTATCACTCTGGTTAAAAAAAAAAAAGAGAGAGATGTCCTTCATTCATGTAACTGTGGGCTTTGTAAAGTCAGCTGCTCTCTAAACCTCAGTCCAGAGTCTGTTTTAAATAAGGGTGTAAAGTGAGAATGTGTTGTGGGGCATTTAATCATCTGGGTTAGTTAAAGCAATTTTTGTCCTAGGATTCTTTTCCACAATGTTACATCGCCATGATCTATCTTAGAAATAAAGCTGAACTGTCCTGCAGCCTCCCACTGGGGATGTTTGCATTTCATTTACACTATTTCATGGGGCTTAAATTAATCAGACGTTTGTAAAAATAAAAAAAGTAACATCATATCAATTTAACCCCCCAAGACACTGAACCTCAATTTGCTCCTGCTGCTTGTGTAGCTGGTGTACAACCAATCGGGCCATTATCAAATCTATAGTGCTTGTCTTTTGCTGAAGCTGCCAATTTATAATACGTTAAGAATTTGCAGCCTATTCGATTCCTATTGTTCCTCATTTGTGCCAACACAGTAATTCTACATCACAGCCTGACGCTAAAGTTTTGAACCAACCTTTATGGGTTCCCTCTTACTTTAAAAAAAAAAACAACCCATAAATGATGCTTTCTAGCTAAAACAAATAAGACATGAGGTCAGATTGAGATGCTCAGTCGATAAGGATAAAGCACCATTTGCATATTAGTCTGATGGTCTGGATGTATATTGATTGTGGCGAGCAACTGTTGAGCTGAAATGAAAACAAACGTTGGAATAAGACTTAGGAGGACGTGTTCGAAGCAAAGGTCTCATGAAACAGAAAACACCAAAACCGTAAATCCAATACCCTTCATATATACATGACATGTCGATCTTCTTTTTTTTTTTAAAAATGACTTCACATTTTCATCAAGGATTTAGGGGTCGTCACGTTATATCTCAAAATCTCAACACAGTAACTGTAAAACTATCAGGCGTTTAAGAGTTTGGGATCATCACTCTCAATTTACTCCAACATAGGGTGCTCAAAAAAAACAAAAAAACAAAGCTTCTGGTGTGCGGTGAATAATAATAATGTCAATAGAAAAATTGTACATCATGATCAAAACAAGATAAATATGTAAAATGTGTCAGATCCTCGAGTCGAGCTCAAGGTACATGGGCAGGAAAGTTTGTGTCCATACAACAAAACGCACAGTCGTTACAGGCCAAATAAAGAACAGTTCAAGTTTTTAAAGTGAAAAAAAGAAAGAGAAACACCACCACCCTGACAACTGCCTCTTTGAGCATTTTATAAGAAACAATATCAAACAACAAAAACAGAGTTTAGGAATGTACCATTTAAAAACAGTTTCTTTGTGTCAGTGCTGGAGGGGAATAAAAGTGTCCTCAGTGGATATTTTGTGATATGAAAGCTGAGTAACAGAGCCGCCCAAGCTTTTCATCAGCCTACACACCAAATCAACATAAGGCTCATTCAGAAATGATGTCCAAAGCTCCTAAGGCCATTTAGCATGACGGATGTTTATTGGTGGTAGATAGTAAAACCCAATAGTGGCACAGGTTTAAAAAAAGAAAAGAAAGAAAGAAAAGGCCGATATATTCCAGCATGTCACTTTTCTGTAACCACTGATATTCCAGCGTTTTTTTAATGAGAAGTTACTAATGTTGATGTTAAAGGAACCTTCAGGTGGCGGATCCTACAGAATCAGAGTGAAAGGTGATGTATCCCGAGGACGAAGCCGAGGGCGTGCTTACAAAACTGTTTGTGCTTCCTTTACTCTCAGCCTTGCTCAGGTGCTTCTGGTGTCCCCAGCTCGGTGCAGCTCCAGCCCCGGCCCCACCGCCTGTCCTGGGCCTGCAGCCGGAGTGGCCCGAAGTCTGCTGGCTGCGCCCAGGTGAGCCCGCCTCCCCCTGCTGCTTCCCATCTCGCGGACGCTCCCGGCAGCCTTTCCCGGAGCCACAAGCCCCGGGGCTCTTCTTCCCGCCAGGTCTGTCTGGTTTGGGGGAACCCTCGGGCGAGTTGCCCCGACTGCTGCTGCTCCTTTTGTGTTCCGAGAGCCGCCTGAGCGCTTGAGGCTCACGCTCGAAGTCTGTGAGCGGGAAGTGAGGGAGGAGGACCGTGTGCTGTTCGTACACGTTGGGGATAAGTGAGATGGTGGACGTGCGCCGCGGGCTCTTCCTGGGGCTCGGCAGCGGCGTCTCGTCTATAAAGTTGATCACCTCGTCGCGGCTGAAGCAGCGCAGCTCGTCCTCGTAGCGCTCCCCGCCGCAAACCACGCGCGGCAGATGCTTGAGGGAGTGCATGCTGTCCTCAGAGCGTCGCCGCTTGCGGTGAGGGTGATGGTGATGGTGGCTCTCCTCGTGGTAGGAGACCAGGCTGCTCCTGCGCCTCTCGTGGCGCGGCAAGGTGGAGCTGTAATGGGCACTCACTATCATGTCCTCGGTGGAGCCCCATCGGTGCAGGTATGAGGGGATCCGGTCGCTGGTCCACATGTCGGTTTCGTCGTGGGAGTATCTTCTTGTAGGGGGCACCTGGACGCAAGACACAGACCAGAGCCCTCAGTTATATTCACAAGTCTGCCATGAAGTCATACAAAATTCTAGAGCAACACAGCATCACTGAGCACATTAAGTAAGCTGCATGTTGTGTATCACTATTAGAGTTTTAGATTGACCTACAGTAGCCGCTATCAAGAGTAGTACGTGTAGGATTCTTGAGTGTTTACGTGGCAGCAGTTCTGATTAACTGATTTGTAGAAACATGAGACGGCTTCATCTGGAAACAAGGCTGTAACTCCCATTTCAATGCATAACTGTATACTATAAGGCCTCATGTCACTGTCCACACAAAGGTTTGAAGCAGTCAAAACAAAGGAAAGCTTCAAGCTGGAGTGCTGTTGCTCCAGTACAACGCATCCATCCACACAGCAGAGGTGGCAGAAGCATCCAAATGTGGCCCCATGCGCCTGTTTTTTTTTTTTTACCACCCTGGCACAACCAGACTTCTAGTTTTTAAAAACTGTGAAATAAGGTTTTACAGTACACAGTTATGCTCCAGAATGGAAGCTAGGCCCCTTGTTTCCCAGTGAAGCTGAGAACTTTTTGAAATATCTGTGCCCTGATTCAACTGTTTTGTTTGCTTAAAATCCTACATGTAGCACATAGAAGTTTTCTTGTCCACGATTTTATTGGAATTTTAACTTCCATCAGGACATGTGTAAACTTTTTTAAACTCTTTAACAATCATCAACAAGCGTATTCGCCTCCTTTATCTAAAGAGCAAAACTGTAAAGGTAGGTAGTTCCCTACAAGTTATACTCACATTCCATTCTGTTCTGACAACTATGCAAGAGAGAGAGGGTTTGGTAAGGTGACGTCAAGAGCCTCAAGATTGATATCAGCCTGCCCCCCTGTGGTGGCTTTTAGTAAATGCAGGAGAAATCAAACAGCAGACGATACAGTAGCACTGAGTGTGTTAGGTGGGAGGGCTGAACAGCAGAGGGCAACACAAGCATTAGAATGACTTAAGATGCAGGACAGACTTGGAAGGATGGACAGAGAGTGAGAGAGCCAACAGGCCAATAAAGCCAAAGTGACTTTATTCTGTAATCAAAACCACTTGAGAGGTGCCACAGCAGTTCTCAAATGTATGCGTTACTTGATTATGATTTGGAGGGTTTTGTTGATTCATGATCTACTTGGGCCTTTGAGGAGCAACAGAAATAATGTGACTGTACCACAGTTCAGTCAGTCGTCCTGTAACTGAAATCAAAAATGCACTTTATTCATTTCACAAACACACACATACAGCTAGGAATAACACAGCTAGATATATATTACTCTATAAGAAAACAAATCTACCAAAATATGAAAAGGACTATTAAAGGACAAAAACAATGGATGGAGGAATGATTTGATGTAATGAAGTGACAGCTACTGTAAACATCTCTGTTTCAAGACTTCTTATAAAACCAAATTGGATTAAAATTTACATGCTCCACAGGAGCATTGGTCTTTGACATGTCCATTATAATCCAGGACATCTGGGGTGCTGTACCAATTTAAATGTTTGTTTTTTCCCAATAATGGCAAATGTAGCAGCTGGGGCTTCAGGTTATATGGAGAAAACCGAAGCCCCCCATCAGATTGTTTAATACAAAGATGACACAGTATTACGATGCTTTGTTAAAGTTAATATTATGTGGGTTGCATTAGCTGATTCTAAAGGTACATATCCTCACCACAGTCTTCCAGGCCAAGTCTAGTAGTCCATAATCATCTCTACATTAAATCAGTTATTCTTATCAGTATCCATCAATATCTCACGCTGGGACAGAATTTGTATTAAATCCTGATTAGAATCCAAACCGAACAGAAGGTTTTGTTGAATTGTCCTAGAAGGCTGCATGTTAGTGCAAGCTTTGCTGTTAATGCAGGCTGAAAATGAGCATTTCAATGTTCTGCATCTGACTGGGATGGATGCTGGATCCAATGGACACAATGCTTTTGGGTAGAACATGAGTAGATGTTTAAAGTGTTTTCCTGAAGCCTTGAGGGATTCCTGAAATGCAGAAGGTAAGTCAGTTACTAAACTCTTACCCTCTTACAAAATAAAAATGTAGTGAACTGCTTGCAGGTCCATGGCTAGGACACACTACTTGATAAATGAAGCACGTCTAATGTATTGATGGGACTGCTGATGGTCATATTTACCAAACATTAGTCAGCTAGTGTTTTTTTGATTCATGTAAAAAAAAAAAAAAAAGAAAAAAAAAGAAAGAAAGAAAAGAAAACAAGAAAAAAAAGAGAAAAATCTGTGGCATTTCTGGGAGAGATAGAATCATAAAATGTCTAATGATTTCAGAAAGTTCAATCAAGATGTTGTAAAGGCTCACAAGGCCATTGCACCATGCACATTAAGCAATGAAGTAAAAATAGTTCAACTGATCAAGTAAAAGAAATGAAGAAAATCAATAAAAAATATACCTGCAAATACTGCATTCTATCTTCCTGTTGTTCCCTCAATGGATACCCTTGCAGAACCCCCCTTTCTAAGGTTGAGAACTCATACTTGGCATTACGGTCTATCGTCACGATTTCAGGCGCCGAGCTATAGTCATATGGTCTGTCATATATTAAGTCGGCATGAATTCCTCCATCTTGGCTGTTTTCTGCAAAGTGCAGAAAAGCACGAGCGTCAGGATTAGAGAACAACGGACTCAATACACAAGACAGACAGACAGACAGACGAATAGATAAGAGAGACAAGTTCAATTTGTTCTCTGATTCGTTGACTTTTCCTACTGGTAATATCAGGTTTTAGATTTTAAGAAAAGAGAAAAAGAAATGAAAAAAGAAAGAAAGAAAGAAAAAAAAACGCAGCAAATTACAAGAATTTCATATAAATGTTTAGTAAGGGGGTGAAAAAGCCCCATGTTGGATCAGAATTTAGAAACAATGCCAAATAGTTGCATTTAAAATCGTTACAGGGCAACAACAATATCATACACACAATGTCAAGTGTTTTTAGTGTAAAAAAATACCCATCTACCAAGTATATTTTCCCAATTATGGCATTTATGTTCATTACAGATCAATTGGAGAAGGGTGCAAAATGCTGATCTTGAGGAAAATGTTGGCCAAAAGGATGAAAGATGGAAGTAGCTATTCGCACAGGCAGCTTGGCATGCAAGTCAGTAGCTTAGGAAAAACAGGAAACAATCCTCATACATACAACTGTGATGACTTATACATGGCAAGCCCTCTGGAAAAAAAGCAGAGAACTGGCAGTGTTAATTATCACACAGAATAACGGACTGCCTTGTGTTGTTTTATTGGTTTCCTGCTGGACAATGAGCAGTTATGAGGGGAGGGTGTCAAAAGAGAGACAGGATCAAAAGGTTCGGAGGGTTAGAAACAGGAGAGAAGGGGTTCAGATCGGGTTGAGTTTAAACAGTGCCAATAGTTTAGAGAAAAAGACAGATGGTTCATGCTGTCATCGAACCTACCTATGATTATCATGTGACCTAATTTTGGGACCAGATTTTGCTGAAGTGTCTGTGATTCTTTGGTGAAATGTTTCATTTTCAGCCCTTGAAACACACATATATGTCTCTAATCAAAAATCTTCTTTCTCTTATCTATTAGTCAAGTGCCATTTAATTCATACTTCTGCCTTAACGTCACTACAGTCTGACCAGCAAATAGGAATCCACATCACACAAATAACAATAAATTAAAACAAACAAAATGAATAAAAAATAAATAAATGCATACATACAAGTCATTCATTGTATTTAGAAAAAAAAAAAAAAAAAAAAAACTCGTATCCTTTTGTGACTTGAGGGAAATATGACCATCATAATGACATGAAAGTGCTCTGGAGCTTTACTGCAATTGTTCCACTTTCGCTCTGGATTCTAACAAATAAATGGGGAACCATTTATTTTATCGTCCTCTCACGCCGGGGCATTCTACAGGAAGATTGCCCAGTTTAAATGCATTAGAGTGAAAAAGACAAAAGTGCTGCAAGGTAAATATGTCCTTTGTCCAGCAATATTTCTTTTTCTTTTTTTTTTTTATGACATCAATCTCATAGCATGGGAGAGCAAAGCATTTTCCAAAGTACACGTACAAAAACACAGAAGATATATTTTAGTAAAGCGAGGTAAATCACACAGACACTTGTCACTTTAGTTGCATCTCCTGACAACTAAGGTCACTTGATAGGTCACATGATAACATTTGACCACTGACTTACGGCCTCCAGCTACGACACAATACAACAAGTAATAAATCCACTCCCAAAAAACCTAAATTAATTATGTAGTTACACAAAAAGCCAAAATGACGTTTAATATTCTAAACTGAGAAATAGCCAAGAGCTGAAAGTTGTACATATTGCCCTAAATGATAAAATATAATATAATATAATATAATATAATATAATATAATATAATATAATATTCTGAAATGTTTACTTTTCATATCACAAGTCTTGGTTTTAAGTTCTATAGAGGTCTGATGATTATGTGAGGTTATTATCATGACTTCTGGGTTCTATCTGTCTATGATTTAATTTAAGCATGTTGTTGTGAATTGCATCATGTTTCAGCTGCTCATTCACAAATGAGATGCAAATTAATTTGAGTCTAACAGGATGCAGAGATCCCACCATACGGTTCCTGGAGGACCAGGAGTGGACATGTCTTCTAAGAATCATCCCATAAATCAGAGGTGTTTTAGCTACAAACTAGCCTCTCCTCCTTTCCTGCAGAACTGCTTCCAACTATTTTTGAAATTAACTGTTTGTCAGACTGATAAAATTAAACTCTTCAGGTTGATAAATCTCATTTTTCAAAGACAGTCCAGAGCTGAACATGCTCAAATCTTTCTTTTGAGAATCCTGTATAGTCTTTCACTATGTTTTTTTTTCTTTTTAGCAAATTATCTGCACTTTCACTTTAAGATTTGTACCAATTTGGAGCTTTGCAAACATACAACCAAGTATTTTTTAGCCATTTTAGCTGGGACCTATCCTCACACAGCATTTAACAGGAAAAAAAAAAACACTCTACTTTCTTACTAGTCCACCCAGGAATCAGGAAACAGGAATCGATATCCGTATTCCCATCATCAGGTGAAGAGGAGGGGGGGAAAAAGGAGGCAGGACGGGAGGGAGACGCCTGACAGCAGCTTACCCTCGTCCACGTCGTCGTTGGACATGATGGCGACGCACTTCTCCCACACCATGCGGATGTCGGCCCGGTAGCGGTCGCAAGCCCAGAGGAACATGGGCAGCAGGATGGACTGGGCGATGGAGCACCACAGCACGCACAGCACCATCCAGTTGTAGGAGCGGTCGAACTTCAGACTGGCAAAACTCACCACCTGTGCGGGGTCGGCAGACACAACCATCTGTTATGGCGAAGTTCTGGACTTCTAATGTTAGACAGCGTCGTTAAAATCCATAAACTCTAAAAGACAGAAATCAAATGTTTCTGGCAGCATTGCTTTCTGTTTTCTTTAAAAGTTACCAGTAATAAATCTTGTCAACACAGCAGCAAGGACATTGGACTCCTTTTACACCATCACCTAAAGCTATAATTTACCAGCTAAAATAAAGAGAATTGAATGAAAGCAGACAAATCACTCAGGTCATCGAATAGGTGTCACCTTACCCCTGGTCTCCCCATAAACAAGTTTACACCTACCATCTCCAACAGCCACCGCAGCAGTCAAGAGAGTTCTGTACAATATATTTATATTACAGCCTAAACCCGCCACTGTATCTCAGGTATCAAATGACTTGTGGAAGTCCCAAGTATATGAAACAGGAGCTGATATAATTTAGATTCTGCAAATCTTCTACAGACAGAATGCTGTAAAAGTGATTTAAGTTTGGATCCAGATGATAAAAATCTGCATCTGATATTCCAGCTAAAGTGCTCCCAGCAAGCGCTTCACACAAATTAGCTAAGTGCCTCCTGTGCATTATCTCTCACATCCAGCCCTATATACTAACAACTGCTATTACAGACCGGAAAGAGCTTTGGCATTAAGCAACTTTACAAGCAGCCTGTGCTGTTGCCACACACACACAGGACAGATATAATGTGCATCATATGCCTCTGACAGCACTTTAATTGGGGACTAGTCCTCATTTGTAATAATGTTGGGTCACTAGAATGAGCACTCCAACTGATTGTTTATGAGTTCGTCTGCTTATTTTAAAGAAATATATATTCATTTAGTGTATAAAGTGTCAAGAAAAAAACAGCACTATGTTTTATTTTTTATTTATATTGACATAAAGCAAAGAAAAGCAGCAAACTGTAACATTTTAAAAGTTGGAATTAACTGATTATCAAAACAATTGGGAGAGTTCTTTTAAATGAGTTGAGTCACTCGATGTTCAGTCAGTGGTATTTGTCGATCTGTCAGCAAGATAACACAAAAGCCATCAAGATAAATGTCATGAAACTTGGTGGAGAGGTGGAACGTGGGCACAGGATGAACCCATTAAGTTCTGGTGAGCAGTTTTGTTAAAAAAAAAAAAAAAAAAGCAAGATATAGCCCTTCGGTATTTGTTCTGCCAATCAAAGTAAGCTATGTCCAAAGTCTGACTGTCTAATATGAGATGCAACGTGTGCTCACATCATGACTGAGCTCCAGCATCAACTCTGCAACACAAGCGTCTGGTGAATCCTCTGCAGCATGGCAGAATAGGAAAAGGTGACCTTGTTTTGGGCACAACCTCTTTTTCCAACAAGCATTAGAGCTAATATTGGTGGCCTACCTCAGTGGCTGCAGCAGAGCACATTATGTGATCATTAAAGTTGACAGGTTCGGTGTCTAATCCTCATTTCTAATGCATTGGGCCGAGACACTGATCAGATTGATTAACTCAGACTCATTATCTCCAGTGTAACCTCCTCTGGTCGTACCTTGAACTCGAGTACAACGAAGCAGCAACTTTATTTAACAGACTTGATGAAACTGTGAACCTGACTTTGACCTTGTTCACCTGCGACACTGACCCAATCTAAAAACTGCATGGCTGGCCAAAGACAGAGGAGAACAACAGAAGACATGGAGGTTAAACACAGGTTTTCTTTCTGCGCTTTACCTCATAATCACAGGCTGCAACACACTATAATTAGATAGGTGACCATACTGCTAGGCCTGCAGTATTTTCCACTGTCAGGTGCTTATTTTAGTCCTCTGGAAAGATGGAGTCCCTACTAGTGTGAGAGAGAATGATGTTATTGTGAACAGATTGCGGATTTTAGGTTTCAAGAGGAACTTATACTTAAAAAAAACATCCCAGAAGTGTTCATACTTTCAAATAAGAATGTCAGGAGCATAAAGATAACAGAAATAGAAATATGTCTGGACAACTCATGTGTATATGTCCACACATAGAAAAGATTTTTATGTGAACATTTAGTGTTTTTTTTTTTATAGCATATCTAAACTTTTAACAGTGGGGATTCTATTCTGCTCTAATCATCTGTTTCTCAGTATTACTCTGTGCTGCACTGTACAGTTCCAAACAAACATGTACATTTGTATGTGTTACAGCTTTCCATGCATTTAAATAGCTCATTACATCAGCTCATAAAGACAGCGAACAGAGTTTTGGTCGTTTCTGCACTTGAAATATGATCTTTCATCAGTTACTACACTTCCCTCCTTGTTTTGCAAACACATAAAGAAACGAGGGGAATGGGATGCTGTAAAAATGTCTACCGCTGTCTTTTCAAATAAACTCTCTCATCAACTTTCTGTAACTAGAAGGCGGTCGTACCTTTTATCCTGAACCGAAACATCTCTGCACACAGTTTTGATTCTGTTACGCGAAAGGCTCTACAAGGGTAGTTGCCAGGAAATGTCATTTCTCATATGCATGTTTTGGCTTGCTCAGAGATTCACTAATTCATAAAAACAATTTTACCATTGTCCTCTCTGAACAACAAACAGCAAGTGTTTGTGCCTAAAGACCTGTGAGCTCATCAGTGGGGATTTTATAATGGAGTTCATTAAAAAAAACAACCCTTTTTTTTGCATTCATTTTTGGTAGAAATTATAACGCAAGCATCTCCCTAAAGTCTGTGGACGTGCTTTTTCAGGCTTTTTTTTGTGCCTTTATTGGAAAGTCAGTAGCATAGAAGCAGACAGAAAACAAAGAGAGTGGGTTGGGGGAGGTGAGAAATGCAACTCTAAAAGTGGCTTCATATGAGGATGGTGACATTGGAAAGATAAATAAGAGGTCTTATCTACACTAAAGAATAAAAACAAAAACTAAATCATCAGCTGATTAAATGAGATACCCTTGTTTAGGTTGAGCGGGAAAGAGGAGGTTTGTTATTGCTCAGCTAACGGTGGGCAGAGACTCGCATTTAGCTGCAGATTTGGATAATCCCACAGAAAAACCGGCTGCATGGCTTTAAGGCCTAATTAAAGATCATTTTAAAAGCTCAGACAGACCTGCAAGGTGCTAGCATCCTCACACAAATATTTTCTTGAGTAGAATTCACACATAAGAGTCAGAAGAAAGATAATTGTAGTTTGAGACTTCTATTATTGGAACCAAGGGAGTAGAAGCTATTTAAAATATCACACACCGCTGATTTCCTTCTCACAAGCCTTCCACAAAGCCAGAAAACATTAACAACCCTTCAAATAACAACAATAAAGTAGATTCCTCCGATGAGCATGCACTAAAGAACCAGTTATCTTGCTCAGCGCTCTGGAATCAGCATTAAAGACTCGTACAAATCGCAGTGCTTTGTGCATGAGTTACTGCTCAGCTTGCCTCAGGTGTACAACTCCCAATTAAAAAAGGTTTGATTAATGTGAAAAAGTTTAACTTGCAGAAATGATAACAACCGAGGCAATGTATTATATATAAACTGATGCTGAGACTCTTTGATTCACATAATGTTCTCCTGCCTCGAGTAATAGAGCATTACTATATACAAGTCAACTCTCATTTAACAAAACATCCACCTCTGTTGCAATCCAGCCGCCTGAAACATGAGTAGAGGGGTACTTGGTATGAGAAAAATAAAAACTGTCCAAGCTCATTTACCTTCAGGAAAAAGCTCCACCGAGGTGACTTGCCTTTAAGAGCACAGGCTGGCTGGCTTGGCTGCATCACAAACAGTCAGCCTTGAGCTTTCTGTAGGCTCTCAAGTCTTCATAGAAAACCAGGGAACTCACTTGTTAAAAAATAAATGAGAACCTGAGGGTGGAATTTGCAAACCAAATGGCGACACAGTGAAACAGAGCTTCACTCACTGATAAAACACTTCAAGGATCAGTTTCCCCAAAGGTGGTAGAAGGAAGCTACACACTCAGCTCTTAAAGCCTGGGTTTCTGCAAAAGGCAGCGAAGGGAACATGATTCCAGTGATCACCTGAGCTTCCACTTATGTTGGCCAACATATCATTCTTTTTATTGTTATGCCTTCTGTTTACCGAGCACCTCATACTTCTGACGACGCATACTATACACTGCATATAAGACAACTCATTTAGCCCGACCTACACACAGCTATAGATGAGCAGAAAGTTAATTTAAATCAGAAAACCCCATGGTTCTGGTATGGTTCTGTTACCTAACTCTTTCTCCGTCTTCCTTGTTGACCCAATTCACTTTCTTCAGCAAACAGTTTGAGTGGTCAAGAGGTCACAGAAATAACTTTCATTAGACTGAACTTACTGTATGTCAGTGTGCTGCGCAACACAGGCTAGAACTTACTTCACCTTATAACTGATATATATTATAATTATTATGTGCACATGAGTACAAAACTTAATTCACTACATGAATTTACTTGGTTAATAAAGCTAGGAGCTTCAATAGAAAGCAACTGGACTTCTCTGTTAGGTTCTTTCAATTCTTTCTCAAAAAACATTTCAGGAACCTAAAAGGAGAAGTCCAGTTGTGTTCTAGTGAAGCTCCCACCATGACCTGGATGATTGAGAATCTACACAGCCACATTGGTTAAATAAGATTTAAAGCTTTTACGAAATAAAATATGCACAAAACTCTACGCACTGTCACAATAGATCCAGCAGTGTAACAGCTACATCTAAAGTCTGATGTGTTCGCCAATATGACTGTGTTCATGGTAACTTTTTTGATTTTAAATCAGAGTTTTGGACTATTCTTCTTTTCAGGTGTGTTTAGACAGTGAACTCACCAGTATGGGGAAGCCAGTCAGAAAGTCATAGATGAAGACGATACCGCTGATCAGGTAAGTGATCTGTAGCGACGTCTTGAGAGGCTCCGATCCATCGATGGACGATCTGCGCTTCCCTTGAGCGTCTTCCACCACTATGGTGGGGACGTTGAACTTGTTCTTGTCGGCATTGTGGCCCGCCTGAATCGAGAAGGTCTGGAAAAGTGCGATGCCGATGCAGATCACGCCCATGGCCACACTGCCGCCGATCAGCAGCAGAAAGCACACGCCGAAGCCCAGGCCGATCTCCGTCACGATGAATCGGCAGTCGGAGGTGTAGAAGCGGTCGATGGTGTCGTGCCAGCCCACAGCTGGGAGCGTGGACAGTATGAAGGAGACCATCCAGATACCCATCACTGTGTGCACCGCCTGCTTCTTTGTGTTACTCAACCTGGAAGCAGGACCACAGATTTTTGCATACAGTCAGTTGAGTTGCTGGCAAGCCTTCTAGAGAAATAGGCTTTAGCTTTGTTTTCTGCTGTGCGGGTGATCTAGCTCAAAAGAATCGAAACTTGTGACTCGACCTTTGTGATCTGAAAAATTGCAATTCTACTTCTGCTAGTACGTCAAAACAAACGGTGCTTGGATTTCTAATACCTTAAAGTAAACAGGGGAAAAAAAACTGACAGTGGCAAACAAGTAGAAACCTCTGAAACATACAAAGTTTGGAAATGGTGACCACTAATAGAGTTTGTGCTCTTACTGTGTGTTGCATAGAATAATTAAGATAAGAAGGTCTTACTGCGTTGTTTCATTTCAACTGATGGTAAAGAAACTTGCAAGGAGATAGAAGATTTGTAAAACCTGACTGTAAGCTATGGCAAAAATACTGTGAATGCCCCAAAATGTCAAGCTGTACGTGGGACATATATACTGAAAAAAGCATGACCCCACATGGTCATCATTGTCCTAAATTGGATATGAATGTGGGGGGAAATCGACTTTTTGCTGATGGCGAAAGATTGCTTTTCACGTCCCTCGGTCTATTTGTCATCTAGGTCTATTTCAGCACAAAGGGATTTCTATTTTCTCTCATCTCCAAGTAATTGTACAGTTGAGCAATTTGCTGAATGTGTCCTCTGGCAGTGTGGCACTTTTCAAGGTTTGCAGCAACAGCACACGTACGTCTAAAAATACGGCAAGTAGTGACTGGTGATTTTCATCTGCAGAACTTAACCAAACACCGTGCTCTCCTGCCAGAACATTTGCATGTAAAGTGGTGTTGAGCTGCTCAAAACATCAGCAACAAATCATACATAAAGATCAATCCTTTACAGCTGCTAGAACACGAAGACACAGACAATTCAGTCCGGCTTTCATAAATTGGCCTCCGTCCATTAAACACGGATATAACAGGGAGCAATCATACAGAAAACCACAGTTAATACGTCTCTCCTGCTTCTTTTGTGTTGCAAAAGAATGCTCTGTTAATTCTCTGTTAAGTGTCAGTTGTCCTAGAGCAGTTTTGGCAGGAAACCCAATCTGCTTCCCCCAAGAGAACCAGAGCACATGTCGCCTATCCTCTTCCTTCTCTGATGAAAATCCTCTAGGGGAGCACTGGCTAGATATAGAATGTATGCTTTCACATACAAAATGAGCCAAAAATATATTTGAAAATATTTGTACCTAGTAAAGCCTTAGCTTACACGCACTGACACAATATGAGTAGTACACAGGGGACAGCGGTAGCCTCTATCTTTGCACTGTGGCTTTGTGCAAAGACAAGTAGGTCTTGTTGTCACAATGAGTAATAATGCTAGCCTTTCCTGAATGTGCCTGGGGTGCATGGGGAGGTTACGTCACCAAGCTGCATGAATCTATTACCAGGGAGAGAGTATTGCGAGAGGAAAAACTCCTAAGAGATAGTGAGCGCAGGGTGATGAGAACAGCTGCCGAAGTACAAGGTTGGAATTCATAATTCAGGCCTTCAGTGTATGTTAATGTCAGAGACAAGGCAGCCATGCTGGCTCAGCAGGGCACATGTGGAGCGATTTAAATGGAAGATGAACAGCAATTACACGGTGCATCACCTGAGCTATCACTCCACCATATCGCTGTTAAAAGCGACTTGAAAACAAGTCGACGAGTACAAAGTTAATGTTTCCAGACAGGGGGTGAGACAGAATATAGTCAGATGAGTGAGGGAACAGACAAGGGAGATAAAAGCATTTGTGTAAAGCCTGATATCACTGTGTGGGCATCAGCCAATAATGGCAGATGCGCGAGCAATATAGATGGCAAGATTGAGCATAGATTAAAAAGGAAGTTTGCATATCTTATTTGAACGTCTGCTTATCTACAAAATTGGCCAAGCTGACTGGAGGCTGAGCATCTGCAGGCCTGATGCCACAAGAGGAGCAATCACTCTTTGTTTTTCAGCAGCAGAAGAAGCGTGAAGCAGCAGAATAGCGATTTCACCACATGCACCAAAATCTCCAGTTTTTTTGCAACACAACCCACACGGTAGCTTGTACGCATTCTGCAGACATGAGCGGTGATTTCATATGTGTTCAGTATTGCTCTAGAAATGCATTCAGCTGCGAATGATTGTTCCACGCCTGTTGGCCAGAAAATGGCGATCTGCATAGCCATAAATAACAGCTGAACTGCACCAAAGCCAAGACCTCTGAGGTGTGTTTCAATATGAGATGTTCTTAGGCTGCACAAATGACAAATGTTCATATTAATCATTGAATGTGGTGAATATATTCTGCTGTGCAACTCTCATTATCCTAATATCAGGATTTTATGAGAACAAAATATTGGTTGCTTGGTAATAATCATCAGTACATGCTGTATTAAAGCAGTACTGGTGCATCTTTGAATACAGCTATAGCATTAACGTCTTCCCTGAAAGGAGGCGTGTGAACAGCAGATGTCTTGAAAGTCTAACAAGACCAAAATGGTGTTAGCGCAGTTAATGTGAGGTGAACCTGCTCTTTATTTTTCAGTGTAATATCACATGTTGCGAGGAGCCAAGTAAAAGTAGAAGCTGGGGCTGGCAGATGCTTAGTCTACACGGTTTTACATAGTGTTACCCCAAATAACTGCAGCAAGCACTTATGTTGGCAGGAGAAAGACTTCCTGTGATATAGAGCTTCCCACTCAAACACTGAAATAAACAGGCTGACAAGTGACACAAATTTTTTACATGTCCCCGTCTTATCTGAGGAATCTGGGCAGAAATGCAGCAAGAAGTCCAACATTTGTACCTTAAATACCAGAAAGTTGTCTTTGAAGGCGGCTTTGGCAGCCGTTATGTTTATGGGAAGCCTTGCAGGTTAGCAGTTAAAATTCTTCCTTGCAAAGCGTGTGATATTTTTTTTTATGGATGGTCGGATACAAACAAAAAAAAAAGGCAAACGGTACTGTAACCAGAGAATCTACAAGAAATGATGCTTCATTTTCAGCAGAAATATACAATATGTTTTTAATTTAGCAGATTGTTGTTACTTAAGTTTTACAAAATATGGTCTGTGAGAGACAGAATATGTAGATGCACCTTAAAGCACTGATTATCCTTAACTTACCAAACTAAAAAATACTTCTTGACTTCCCTCTAGTGGTATCTGGAGATAATCCACTCAACACACGGTTTCAGCAAAACTATTTCTTCACTATAAAGTTCTTAATACCTATAATAACTGCTCACAACAAGGAGGACAATTTTCAAATTTACTGTACTGGGCTGAAAGTAAAAACCTCAAAAGGAGATGTTTGAAAACCAAAATAAAGGCAAAATTATCTAAAGTGCAATCCTGGGATAAATACTGTAAGATGGAAGTGTGTAATTTGGATGAAATGACCCTTTGCAAAGCTAAGAATACAATATGCGTTACCTGTAGTTTACAGGCCAGCGTACCATCCACATGCGGTGATAGGAGAGCGAGGTGACGGAGAAGCAGGTGACCAGTGTGAGGGTGTAGAAGGTGGAGACAAACACCTTGCACAGACCCTCATTCCACTCATAGTTGGAGTGCTGACGGCGCAGAGTTATGACACAGTACATGGTGATGGGGATGGCCATGTTGAGGATGTGCGTTCCCGCCAAGGTGCAGATGAGGAACTCCAGCGGCTTCCACTTTTTCTGCTTGGCGCTGACGCTGAGGATGCTCCAAGTGTTGGCCAGGATGGACACGCCGGAGCAGACCAGCCAAGCAAGCGTGTTGGCGTTGATGACGTCATCCTTCATGGTGGTTACCTCATCCACCATGTTGCAGCGGGGCAGGGCGGAGCCTGGGGGGCCGCAAGGAATTGTTGGCAAAAGCAGGTACACGCAAGGAGAAGGAGGAGGTGGTGACGGGCAGGAGGGGTTGCAGGGCGTCGAGCGAGGCAGGCATCCTATCTGGGTGGGCGTACACTCTCCATGGGTTGGGCGCAGTGGGGAAAGGACATGGTCGTGGTGCAACACTGTGGGATGTTGGGGATGGGGGGGGGGGAGGACGGCAGAGCTGAGCCTTATGGGCCTGAAGCTGTAGAGGGGAAGAGAGAAAAGATAGAAGCACAGTGGTCAGAGTCAGAGAGAGTGACGATGTAAAGAAAATTATATTAGTCAGTCCAATTTAAAATAATCCTTCACCGTACATAATCCCTCATCAGTGAATTAATAGGGTTATGTTAATCACAACAGTTTAACTGTTACCGTTAACACTGAAAGTCATCCATTTTGTGTGGCAAAGACAGAACAGTAATCAGTCAGAAGGGCTTATTTTAAAAACGCTGCAGGCCAAACGATGACTGAGAATAGCATAAAGCTACAGTCATGCAACTCCTATTTTATAGGAAAAAGTGAATCACCGAAGTGAATCCAAACATCTCTAATAGTCACAGTTATTCAGGGAGCAAAAGATGCAACACTGTGACACCGATAAAGAAAGAAAATCCAACAACTTATACCAGAATGATAGAGGAAATGAACAAAATAAATAATAAAATGTAATCAAAAATGATCATCCTGAAAAAAAAAATAACAAAAACAAAGAATACAAACACAAAATTAGTCAAGTAATAAAGCAGATCTGTTTGTGGAATAATCCACTAACTGAAACAGTCAAGAAGTTAAGACTTCTGGGAGAATTTGCAGCTTTTTATTCATGTAAATTGAATATGTTTGGGCTTTGGACTGTTGGCCGGACAAACAAATCAATCAAACTTTAGGTATGTAAAACAGTTATGGAAATTTTGCATTTTTAACAATTTGTAGTAAAACTTGTTCATCCTGGTGATAAATAATCAATACATTCATCTTTAATTAAAACTAGAATTACCAGCCTATTCCCTCCAAGTGACCTTGACCTCGGAACGTCAAAATCTAGTTTAGTTAATTTGGAGTCCCAGAAAACATAATGGCCATCGCTACTGCTGGCAGAGACACATGAACAGTTACAGTCCTACAAAAACTGATGTCCTTCTTCCCACTCACATACAACATCAGCACAATGGCGAAACAAGACTGAATCTTGTTGTAAGCAGCTATCAAAACAACACCACAAACAGCGTGCAACAGTCTTTATCGAGTCATTTCCAGTGTAATGCCGCTACAGAGAATCATCAGAAGAGGACAACTTTGGTTGTCCCACTGTGTGATTAAAAAAAAATAATAAAAAATGCTCGGCTCAGCTGGAGAGTGTTGTCACATCTATTCGCCGTCGTTTGGCGTGTCCAAACTCTGATGTGCTATAGGCAAGACCCCCGAGAGGGGACACTGGAAATGACGAGAATCGTGTCATCACTTCCACTGATCTAATCCTTCTGTCTCATTCTTTCCTACAAATATCTGTTAGACAGTTAGGCAAGTTTAATAATCTTGATGCAGCTTCAGTACACGCGCTTCTCTGGATGATCCTGTAAACACATCGGAAAATATTCTGCTGGTTTGAGAAGTTGCATAATCACATGAAAGCAACCAGCTCTGGTGACGTTCCTATTTTGGCCTGGACAGGGCAACCACAATTAGGCTCCAAGTAACACTCCAAGCATGCAACAATGCGGTGCAGTTTGGTATGAATGAAACAATGGAACATCACTACACATAGTACTGGAAATGATGCCAAAAGGCAGCGGTGTCTCATGTTTGGAAAGCCGAGAATAACAAAATGCACTCAGGGCAGATCACAGTGTGGACTGACTATTATGCTCCTCTTTTACCGTTGTGCTCTAAACTCAGAATAACAATGTAAGAAAAGAAAAACAGCTAATTGCATCATACTTAAGGTAAAGGAACGACTTATGGATATGTTATTATCTGCCCAATACACAGGCCACACTGAAGTTCTTCACTTCTATTCTTGCAGTGGGAATCGTAACAAACCAAACATCAAAAATAGATTTAAAAAACAATAAAAGCAAAGCAACAGGGTACAGGGTGCACACAAAAACCGACAAAAATGCCCTCAGCAGCTGAGTTTGACTCCCGGCTGGTCGGACCTTTATCTCATGTCATCCCGCTGCCCTCTTCTCTCACATTTCCTGTCTGTCTCTACTTCAACTGTCAAATAAAGGCAACGTGCCAAATACTAACCCTTAACAAGGCAAGATTCCACTTTATCAATGTGTTCACGCCCTCAAAAGCCACAATAGAACACATTACACCAGACTGGGATATGAAAAGAATCGTTCACAGCTTTGATCCGGGAATCACTAGGTGGTTTGGGTGAACAGAGCCACAGTCTGTCTGTTGACTGTGGACAGAAACCACAGCTGAGTCAAACGCTAAACATTGCGGCAGTGTCACACAATCCCCCGCGATTTGAAGCAAATCCCTCCCAAGTCCAACTGGTTCCATGAGGAAAATACAGTAAATCTGGTTTGTTTTTAGAAGTGACAACAAAGACAGATGCAGGGAAGACAAGCGAGTCACAGCAGCAACACGGGGGATTACACAGGTAAAGTTGCCTTGCCTGCCAATGAAGGAACCAGAGAGCAGCTTTATGGACTTTAACAACAGAACCATTTTAAAGCAAAAAAAAAAAGAGCAGACTGAATAATTCTGCAGCCCTGAGTGTCTCAGGTTGATGCCTTTTCAGGTCTTGGACTCACAGTAAATCTCCCTCACAAGCTCTGGTGTGATTTGATAAAACGCAATTTCACCTTCTCACAAACCCTCGATGCCTGAATCACACACGGCTGCTGCCAGTAATGCTGCAGCTGAGTTTTCTCTGTTTATTACCTCACCCTTCCTCTCCATCTTCCCCACGCCGTGTCACCCTGACCCTCTCTTTTAAATGCATGTGCTGTGTATCATCTGTCCAGGAAACTAGAATTTGGGAGGTAAATTCACTTATCTCTGCTTGTCTCTTCTCCTGCTGCAGAGCCAATGCAGACCTTAAAAAAAATAAAAAATCACAGCTGAAGTGAACCCTGAATCTGCTATTGTGAGAGCTCACTCACTGCCATGCTGGGATATCACAGTTATCATTATTGTTAACACGTGTGCTTTTCCTGCTTTGATGAGACAAAAATGTCTCTACCGAAAGGTCAAAATCAACACAAAGGTCATGCAGAGTGGAGTTTCAGTAGAAGCATCAGTGGTACCGTGCCTTTTAGACTATGGGTGATCATTATTGATGAATGGAAATGGAAACACTTTTTTGGTTGCTCTGTTATGCTGTGGGGGGGCTTGTACTGCCACGGCTTTGATCGCTGCTCATCAGTACAAAGTTGTTCTGAGTCATCACCTGTATCCTGTCATGAAACAGTTCTTCCCTGAATGAAATAGCCTCTTCCAGGATGACAACATCCCATCATAGAGAATGAGGGGGTTATCGTTTGATGAGTATGAAAATGAGAAAAATGATATGCTATGGCCTTCATAGTCATTAGTTTTGAACACCTGTGAGAGATTTGGGAACAACATGTTTGACAGCGCTCTTTTATAACCATCATCAAAACACCAAATGAAGGAACATCTTTTGGAAGAACAGCGTTTCATCCCTCCAGTGGAGTCCCAGAGCCTTGGAGTATCAACGCCAAGTAGCTCTGACGCTGTTCCAGTGGCACATGGTATCCCAACATTTTACTAAGACACGTTATGTTGGTTTTGCCTTTAATTTGTCACCCAATTGTGGTTGCCATGTGCTTAATTTATTGTCCCTCTTGCTTTACAGAGTCAGTGCTGTGAACCATGCAGAGATATTCGCTGAATTGGATCAGAATCGCCAAGTCTACCTTGAAACAAAGTGCTTCTGTTGTCTAAACCTATGCAACGTGCACCCCAGTATTAACTCTAACCCAGCTCCAATGCAGTTCATAAATGCGGTGCTTCATTCCTTAAAACAAAAACAAAAAAGCACCGCCTATGAATGTGATTCAGCCAGCAATTACACTGCACCTCAATGGAAAACAGCTAACTTGTAGGGAACAGGGTTTATAAACCACACATTTCAAGGATCCAGGAATGTTTCACTGTGATATTATATAATTCATAAGCATGTTTGTGACGCATGAAGAAGTAACTTTGAATACAGTGATGATATTCCAGCTCTTTAGGTGATCTGGGTTCTGTTGTTCAAAAGGTCTACATGGATCAGAATGACCTGGATTTGTAAATCTCATGTTTTGCTATCAAGTATCAAAAAATCCATCTTATGTTTGCACCAGTTGTACAAAGCAACACTGAACTAGATGCTCCTGATCTCGATAAAAACTTTTCAAGATTATTAAATTCGGACTACAAGTCACAATGTAGGCTACTGACTATATAATGCAGACCAGGTAGAACAGCCTGAGCCAGCATACGGGCCTCTTTGAGGGCTTTCATTTGAAGAGAAAGAAATTATAAACATCCCCTTCCATATTTATTTTCTTCGGAACCAAGAATGGATTACAGATTCCTTTACTTCTTTCAAGCAACCAATTTTCAGGATTTAATCCAATTCAATAGCTGAAACCTGATCACTTTGAAACTACTGGGCCCAGATGGTGAGTACATGTTAGCCCCCTTTTGCATGTCAGTTGGGGGAAATAGTCTGACTCATGACACTTGTTTAATCATTTTGTTTGTTTGTTTGTCACAGTATATAGTCTATGGTAAGTACAATGTTAGGTGCAGATTGAATATCCTGGTTTTTACAATTAGGAATTGGATTTTTGGTTCTTGTCCCTTTCGAACTAGAAACTAAAAAAAAAAACATTTCAGTCACAGTGATGGAACTGGTGTAAAAAATAATGTGTGATATTCTGGAATACTGAAAAGACAATACTACTTAACCAACAGCATGCTGCGTAATAAAGTGAAGTTACGTTTCAACTGAGGTGCAATATAATAAAACAACTCCCCCTCCTCTCTATCCAGCTACATTTGTAATTTACCGACGTGGGAAGACAGGACTGAAAAATGTACTTAAAGAACTTCTGCTTTGGTGACTCATAAAGGACAAAGACAGCTTCAATTAAATACAAGAAATTGCGGTCAAGGTCTAACAGGGTTATTCTAGGATGTTTACAAGCAAGTGCTTTTTTTTTCTTTTTCTTT